TGGGGTAAGAGCGCGGAACCATGCTAATGTGAAGAAGACAATGTCTGGAACTTTTTTTAGGGATCCTTCTTGCAATCCGAGTCCATATGCTGAGTCCTCTGGGGCTCCTGGCTTTCCTGTCTTACCCCAAGGCTCTCAGGAGAACTTTACGCTGAAGGTTTAACACTTACCTGTCCAGTCATTGCTACCTTTTGTAGTTCTCAGGATTGTCCCGTCGGTTCTGTGCCGATTTATAAAGTGACCCCACTATGAACTCCAGCATTTTTCAGACTAGTCTCTGTTCTACCTTGGAGGGCTATGAAAGCCTAATTACATAGTATCTCTGAGAAGCTTAGATTCTTGCAAGTTTGATATTGATTTATTTCACAATTTTATTATGAATAATATCAAACAAAACTGATTATAAAACCTTTGAAAAACTAAACAATGACTAGGAATTCTTAAAAAGAATAGCTGTGCAGGACTGTGCCTTTGACTGATTTGCTTATTACTATGCAAATCCACTCACTAGACTAGCAGGGAATCATATTAACCAACCTAAAGAATAAATATATTGCATTGAGACTTTAGGTGACATTTATTTCCTACACAATTTTAGAGGACAACTAGTAACATTAGAGCTCAGAAGAAAAGCAGAAATGTTGATTAAATCTTGAAAAGTAAGTCTCATGAAGTGTTAAGGGATTAATTATGTGGAAGAAAGAAAGGTTAAGAATATACAAACCCAGATGTAAATATGTTTTAAATTATTAGTAAGTGAGAATAAAAACAAAACTAAAACACTAAAGGAGGAAATATATAACTTTAAAACACTATTATTGTTCCCCCTTTTTTTTTTAAATCCTCACTTGAGAATATTTTTCCATTGGTTTTTAGAGAGAGTGGGTGGGAGTGAGAGAGACAGAGAGAGAGAGAAGCATCAATTGGTTGCCTTCCCCACGCCCCAACCAGGGCCAGGGATGGAGCCCAACCAAGGTGCAAGCCCTTGACTGAATCGAACCCGGATACTTCAGTCCATGGGCCAAGGCTCTATTCACTG